AGTATATCCTGTGACGAGCTTTGAAACATCCCAACAATGTAAAAAGGTGATATATCTAATGCAAGGATTACAACAGCAAACAACAAATTGCATTCGTATAGTGCCTTTCACATCGGGAGGATCTCCCAAGGCGCTGATTATTATTATTATTATAATATGATAATTAAATATGAAAACAACTAGTTTCCCAGACCCGCAGCTTATCGGCTACACCTCAGCCATGTTGTGAGCAGTCACTCTGACTTTGGACCCGTCGCTGTCTATTTCTTCACTCTAAATGTTTCTCTTGCCTCTTACACAATCTATCTTGTTGGCTAAGAAATCATCCCCGAGAGGTGTTTCTCCACTGTGTGATCTGTGCTACTCTCTGCATGGTTTGCCTGTAAGTCATTTTAAAAATAGCGAAATTAAATGTTTCCTTTTTGATCTATTCTGCACAATGCACTGCTTACTAACATGTCAAAATAACTTTTGAGCACAGTTTATTTAGCTCTCGTGGTTGACAGCATAGAATTTGAGTGCAGCTGTGGAGCATGGGGTGCAGTGCTGGCCTCCCTACTCTGACTGTAATGAATTTTGATCTCCCTGTGTGATATATCATCTCATGATAGAAAGAGTGATAACTCTTCGACTCTTTCCAGGGCCTCCCTCCCTCCAAGTTGCTTTCTCTTTCTCTTGTTGAATGTTGTCTCTCTTACTCCAGAGGCTGATACACTAAAACGTACATAAATCGTACCAGTCAGGACCATAACATTTAATATGATTTACGCGAAGTCCAAGTTGGAGGCAAACTTGTATAAATCGTATTAAATCTGATTTAATCAATATTCTCCAATGTGCTTGTGTAATTCAATGCAGCCGGTAAGTGTGCATGTGGTGATGGGTCAACACCATGTTTCCCGTGATTCAATACATCTTGACCCATTACCGCATGCACATTTACCGGCAAGCATTGGAATCGCATTGAATCGCGGGAAATAAAATTCTTCTGTGCATGTGTCGATGATCAAGACTGTTTCCTGTGATTTAGTGCAGCCGGTAACTGCGAGAGTAATGGCGGCTAGGGGAGCGATGTTACGAGTTAGGGGGTGATTAATACGACTGGTTTAAAGAAATCTTTAAGGGGTTTAGATAGGAAACTGAATGGGACTTGGGTGGATATACGATTTAGGCAATTATTTGATATATGAGACAGTCAAGTCCCTAACAGCATTAAGTATATTGTGTTCTTACCGCTTATAATAATAAACCTTGCATTTGATATTTTGTCTTATCACATTGTTGAGATGTCTCAAAACGCTTCACAGAATATACTGTAAAATAGGTGGACTGTATTTTGTGGGCAAAATGTGGCTGTCAGTTGCGCACATCAGTGTCCCACAAATATCCTGCCTCTGGGGTAAGGCAGAATTTTGCCACATTTACTCTGGTAACTGTATTCTGAGGAAGCAACATCTCACCTCCATTTAATTCATTCATCTTTTAAATTAGTGTGCAGTTTTTCAAAGTTGCCTCCGTGCACCCTTCACCCAGCTCCTCCCTCCCTCCTTCCCTCCCTTCCTCCAATCCACCTCTGGGTCAGATACAGTGTATGATCTGATGGTTGAGTTTTTGCACTCATTGCTTTCCACACTTCTCCTGGGGAAGAGGCGGAGAGCACAAGGGCAGGAACAAACAGCCAGAGTTACCACTGTTGACTCCCTCTGGTGAGTGAGTGGGGGAAGTGCTATTTTGCTTGTATTCAAAATATTCCAACTCTTTTTTAAATGGATCTGTTTTCATGTGAGCGATTGTAGGATGAACTGCAGTGTTAATGTCTCTGTCGACCCGTTAGAACACATTCTACCCTACCTCCTCCTCTTGAACAGTGTTAGCTGTGCGTGTGTTTTAAAGTTGCAAGATAAGAAATCTCCTCTATCCTATAGCTGTACAGAACTGGTAATGTGTGTTGCCTCAGCCCGCCGGTTGAGAACTGGTCAGCTCCACAAATGACTGTAACTTGCGTTCTATTAAGCGCTATGGGACGTGACCCTGTGTCAGGGGTGCTATATGAATGCAAATTGTTGTTGGTATTATGTAGCCTCATTACTCACCGAATGAGTGGGATCTGATGACTGACTCACAATCATTACTGTGGCTTCTGTCACTTATTTTACAACTTATGGTAGGTGAGTATTGATGCATTGGCTGATCAGACAGGACAAATTCTTCACGTTGCCCAGCTGTAAAATAATGACTCTCATGCCCCTGTCAGAGAATGTGTTACCAAAGAGTAGGCTGTCTCCCAGGGAATTGATAACAAACCCGAGTAATCTCCCATGCTGTGCATCCTTTGCCAAAACTTGGTATCCAAGAGCTTTTCGGAATGCGAGGATTAATATTATTATTCAGGTGGACGTTAGGGGTGAAGAGAGCTTCTCCTGGTACCCTGCCTATAATCTTCTGGAAGAACTGGTCATTCACTTGATGGCTGCTATGTTTGCCTACAAAAAACAATATCTGCAGTTGACAATAATTTCTGTAAAGCACTTTGACAAGGTGCTAGAAAAATACAAGTTTCGTCTTTCTAGGTTCAGACCAAAGATCACCTTGCTTAATTGTATATCCTGCAAAGGATATTTTTATTAAGTATTTAGAAACAAAATTAAATATATTTTTCACCAATACCATTTATTATATTTACAGCTGTTTAAGCAAATTAATTACTCCCCCCTCCTTTGGATTATACATTTGATCTTGTATTACAACTCAGAATGTGGGCATTGCCTTCTGTATAATGGTTAACACAACCTGCTTCTTGTCTAAAGACTTAAGTGGAATAAATTATAGCAAAAAATAGTAATAACTATGGAAATTCACATGAGCTATTCCACTGCGCTTTATTGTAGAAGAAAATGACTAACTTCACTCAGTAAATTCCTAATGTAGATTCCCTTTCTTCAACATTGATCTTGGTACTGTTTTAACTTGCATGTAGCTCAGAGGTTCTCTGGAGGCGTTATTCGTTAAAGATTTGTCCCCGTGACCCAAATTGTCCAACTGTGCTTGTTTTAAGAATCTTTCCATTTGGGCTCTTTAATGGGTCTTCACAGTTTAACAATTACCTTTGTAGTGAGACCTCTCTAGGGCCTCAGAATTCTATCACGTCGAGTTCAGAGACTGGGAATCAGAAATCATATCTGCTAAGCAAAATGAGAGACAGCTTGCATATTTATAGCACCTTCTCATTTTAAAATTTCTCAATTTGTGTCACCGATAATTACTGTTAAGCATAGTGGATGTATTTGCAGATGAAAGCAACAACCACTTGCACCAGCAAGGTTCCACAAACAAGCCTTGGAAGTGAACGAGCAATTAATGTGGAGCATTGTTGCCCAGATCACCAGGAAAAACTCTTCTCTTTTTGAATAGCAATTTGGGAGGTTTTTTTTAACCATCCAACTGTAAAACAGGCAGATGGTACCTCGTTTTAACATCTCATCCGAAAGACAGTATCTTTAGTAATGCAGCATTTCCTAAGTACTACTCTGGAGTGACGCACTGAATATAATAACAATAATCCAAACATTTGATATAGCGTCTTATCACATTGTTGAGATGTCTCTAAGCTCTTCACAGAATATACTATAAAATGGATTGACTCTATATTATCAGCTCAAGTGGGCTTGACCTCCCAACCTCCTGACCTAGAGGGGAGAATGTTATCAAATGAGCCAGCCTGATGCCTATCTCCTTCAATGTTCACTTCGTACTACAATTGAATATATTTTAAGTCTAAGTTTAGTGTTACCTAGTTTAGTGTGACTTGATGATGAGTGCATGAAATTTTGCTTTCAAGGAACACTTGTTAGACATTCTTGTGCTCTTTTCTCAGCAAAGTATTCTTGTCAGGTTGCTGTTGACGTCACTTCCTGCTTTGCTGCATGCGCTTTGCTCAGAGCACTTAACAGTGGCAGAGTCTGACTACCGCACTCCCCACCCTCTGCTCGGAGTCAGGTTCTGCTATTGTTAAGCGCTCTGAGACGCTACCCTGTGTGCAGGGCATTATATAAGTGCAAATTGTTGTTTAAAAATTGGTTGGCTTGCTGACCCAGAAGACAGCTAGCTTTTCTTTTAGATTCTTAGATTCTTTTAGCTTTTTTAAGTTAAAATGGCCAACTTCAGATCATTGGGTTGCTACCGAGGTGTCTTCGAAAGCGGGAAGTAATGTCAGCAGCGACCTAACGATCTGTAGTCGGGCATTTTAGGTTTAAAAATGGTCGTCACTTTCTGCTTTGCGCCTGTGCAAAAAACAGGAAGTGACGTTGTGGTGACTTGCTGACCTAGAAGTCAGATAGTTTTTCTTTTAGGAACCTGCCAGGACAGAGCTATTGCGTATGCGCACATGAAAATCATGATCCTTTTGGCTCCCCCCATCACCACCACCGAAATCAAGGGTGACTGTCTTTCCGCACCCTGTCAATCCTGTACTGATCCTAATATCTAGTGACAGAGTGCCTCTCAGGCCTGCAGGACTAGCACGCGGTCTGTTCAGATGTGAAATTAGGATTAACATTTTCTTCCTTTTACATAGAATTCCTTTGCAATCAAATCTTAAATGAATAGTCTAGGGTATGAAGATGTGCCGTCCTTTGGATGTGATGTTCGACCGAGGCCCCATCTGCTTGTTAAAGATCCTATGGCACTATTTGAACACAGAAGTAGTTTCTAGCATCCAGGCCAACAGTCCCCCAGATAAAATTGGTCACTTACTTCATGGCTGTTTCGAGGAATATTGCTGTGTGCAAATTGACTGCTCCATTGGCTTACAAATTACACAGTCACTCCACTTTAGAGTAAAATTATGTGAAGCGCTTTGAGATGTTACGTTGATGTGATTAAAACCCTATACCAAATGCAAGGATTATCACTGTAAATTCATTCATCAAATATAGAAACTGTAGGCAGAGGGCAATTTGACAGTGTTCACCTGCAGAAGTCATTCTGTGATTATATCGCAGGTCTGAATGATGGGAAAGTAGTTTATTCCTGACCGGGCTGTTCGTAAACAGAAGCAACATCTTCCAGCATTCGATTGGAATTTGTGCATCACCTCAGGTGTTGATAGGAGCTGCAGCCTGCTCGTGACTCAGATGATTGGTAAGTAGTTGGGGGAAGTCAGTCGTCTCATTGTTTCAACGTCAAACAAATATTGCGTTACCGATTACAAGATCCATATGATTTGAAGGCGATGAAAATGCAGCAAATGCTGTTCCTTCCCCATAAAGAAACTCAAAATGAAAACAATTAAGGTATAAAACCGAATAAAATAGGACATTTGATGAGAGCCACATTTAACGCAGATTAAGTAATGGACGGATTCAACACAGGCCTTTTTTGTCAACGAGATTTGCCCTAGAGCAGCATCTCCAGACGGAAATGCCGGAGATTAAAGCAGCAAAAGGAAATAACTGAGCAAAATCTGTGTTGCAACAGAAAGAAGAAAGGATTCCCACACGACAGTGCCTGCACCAAAGGAAGACGTCTTGACAGATCGATGAAGAATTCCAGCCAGCCCTTCAGCACTGGAAACAACTCTCTCAATTCAGTACCACCAAGGTACAGTAAGAACCAAAGGCAAACTCTAATGCTGTTCCAAATCCTGAATTAAAGGCGCGCGCCAGTGGAAACCTCACCTCACCGCACAAAGTGTTCTACGACGTTAATAAAAGTTAAAGACAGGGGTAAGATTATAATTAAGGGAGAATCAAGTGGGGGTGAGGGATGTGCAATATTGACCGCTACCTGATAAGAGTGTACATTGAACGTATTCCCACTGGAGGCACATTTTTCCTCTTGCTGTTTTTTCAGAAATGTTTGCTGCTGGAGGTGGTTGGTGGGGTGGGGGCATTGATGCTAGTTATTCCTCAGGTGACTACTTCCCAATCTGAGAGTTAAGCACAGCTCGTCTCTCGGACAGATTTAGTGGCTCAAAATGCTCTGTAACTACAAACCATCCCCTGGGAGCCTTGTATAAGGAGCAAAAAGAGGGACACTCGTCCCTAGCAACCTGTTGTGTATAGTTTATACATATATATAAACCAAATATATACATATAGGGAGTCTTACCATTAAACCAAAGAACACAGGGGACGTGATATATTCATAAGGTAATGATGTATTTCCATTTGATACATCGATTATTCTGTCAAAATGTTCCAAAGCAATTCCCACAATGATTTATATTGAGTTGTCCGAAATAATATATAGCCAAATACAGCTAATGTGCCTCAGCAATCAGATTCATAGAATGTTGCAGCACACAAGGAGGCCATTTGGCCCATCATTCCTGTGCCGGCTGTTTGGAAGAGCTACCCAATCAGTCCCAATCCCCTGCTCTTTCCCCATACCCTTGCAAATTTTTCCTTTTCAAGTATCTATGTGCTCTGGTTACTGACTCACCGGCCAGTGGAAACCGTTTCCGCCTATCTATTCTTATCAAAGCCCCTCATAATTGTGAAAACCTCTATTAAATCTCCCCTTAACCTCCTCTGCTCTAAGGAGAACAATCCCAGCTTCTCTAATCTCTCCACATAACTAAAATCCCTCATCCCTGATACCATTCGGGTTAATCTCGTCTGCATCCTCTCCAAGGCCTTGATATCCTTCCTAAAGTGAGGTGCCCAGAATTGGACATAATATTCCAGCTGTGGCCTAACCAGTGACTTATGAAGGGATAGTAGAACTTACTCGCCTTTGTACTCTTGTAAAGCAATATCCTGCAAACAAACACAAAATCCTTGTCTGGGGACTCAAACCCAAAACTGTATTCATGTGCAAAAATACTCAGTCACTATACATCACAGTGAATGCTGTGAAGTGCTTTGAGACATCCTTCTAAATTGAAAGGCACTTTACCAAATGTAAATATTCATATTTATATTCCAGGCTGCTTTTCAGTACACGCTGGGTGTCCGTGCTGGGAGAGGCAAACGAGAGGCCAACTGTAATGTCACCCCTGCTGCTCCACTCTTGTCTGCCTGACCCAGGTCCTCGGGCAATGCCCATTATTTTGCTCTCCCTTTATCTTTACCTGTCCACGCTCCTTTCTCTCTTGCCTTTAAACCAATCTTATGATCTATCTTTCCAACTGTGCTTTCGACCACCGTCTCCCCCCCCCCGCCCCACAACCTCCCCCTAAACCTCGGGCACCCAGTCAGCTATGTGAAGCACTTTTGAGACCTCCTCCCGAAATAGGAAACGCTATATAAATGTAAATTGTTCTTGCCGTGTTCTGCCTGCTTGCCTGCCGCTCTGTATATATTTGTCTCCCTCTTTGCTTTCTTTTCTCAATCTCTTTGTATTCATTCCCATCTCTCTCTCTCTTGCCCTCCCTGACCTCTGAACCAATCGATATACAAAGAAGGATTTAGAATCTGTTCCTGATTGAGGGGAGGATCCAGGATGGCCTGTCAAGGCTAGGGAACCAAAGTCACTGTGTTTCTATTGGGTTTCATAAGGTCAGCCTCAGACATGTTTGTACCTTAGACAATAACCTTGTTATTTAGCTTTTCTCCCTTATCAAACGCAAGCCGATGGGGGCTTGGGGATAGCAAGTGAAAGTTTGATCAAACGTAGCAGTTGTTTGGAGTTTCCTTACTCCTGCATTCTTTATATCTTAAATGTTCCCTTTCCCAGCACCGACATCCCTCGCCTTGATGATAACAAAATATCTCTCGAATATTTTCATACTTTTTTTTAAAAAAAAGCTAAAACTCAACATTGGTAACATTGCCTGATCGCCGCTGATGACATTTGCTTTGTGCATGTGCATCGAACAGGGAGTGTTGTCATGGCAACTTGACTGGGCGGCTGGATGGCGGCCATTTTTGTTTTGCGGGAAGTTAAAATGGTCACCTTCCAGGTCATCAGATCGCTGTTGGCATCACTTCCTTCGTTGGACATGTACAATAAACAGGACGTGACTTTGATGGAGACCTAATGATCCGGGGATCGATCACTTTAGAGCGAACGTTGGCCAGCGTGCAGGAAACGAGGGCGGCCAGTGGTTTGCTTGCTCAGTGAATGGAGCCCACACTGCAACTGCATTGCAACCGAATCCACACTAAAGGTAGCTCATGATAAAGGACTAGTTTGTTTTGCTCCGTTGCTTTATAGTATTTATATTTCAATCAAATTGTAGTTCTGCCCTTAACCTCGTTGCACTTTCAATAACAGTCTTTTAATTCTGAATCTTAGATTCTGCCAGCACTGGGGAGTCTGTCCTGGGCGACTACTCTGGCCATTGTATTGGCCGCCCACACAGCAACACTCTCACAGTTTCACCACAGAAGCATAGCAAATTCTGATCACGGAGAAACAAAAAAACACAGACACCCACTGATTCCAGCAGCCGTATTAAAAACTATTGTGCGGTGCCATGTTGAGGAAGGTCAAGAACTGATCTTTTTTCACAATTAAAAAAAATACTACTCAGTTCCCAGTTTATGCTGATCTGAAGCCATCATAGTAGCAGTAATGTGGGGAAAAGTCAACTGGGGAACTCACTCCTTGATCAACTAAATCTCTATCCAGAAACTCCTTACGAAACGTGTATGTGTGTGGACATCAGGGGAGGATGGATAACATGTCATTCCCTCCCCCCCACTCCCCATGGTCAACACTCACTGTGTAAGCTTACACATGAATAATAGACACTTGGGTAAGGTGCTGTTCCCCAAAAGAAGGGAAAAGCCTTCAGAAGAGGAGGAGGTGAGGGGAGAAATTCGGAGAAAATACAGTCGAGCAAGGAGGAAAACATTATTGACAAAATGGAGTCTTAATTTGTGAGGTTCGCTAAAGCAGTGGTAAATGTTAACCAGAGGTTCCTCAGTGGGCCTCAGAGGTTGGAATGAGGGTCGGTGTTTTCTGAAAACTGCCAAAGTATTTGCTCTCTGAAGCTTTTTTTTTACTGGATTTGGTGACTCAGTGACTAATAAATTGGGGTCTTTATTAGCTCTCTTCCATCCTTGTTGTGAATATCGAAAATTCGACACTAAGATGTCAAGGTTTTTCCAAATGCCCCAAAACAATCTTCTCCTCAGTGGTTTATTATTACACTATTCAACCTCATTTACATTTAGCAAATGTGTTCAGCACAGCTGCTGAATGCGGTGATGGTGAATGAAGGTTAATCCTAATAATAATCCTTGCATTTGATATCACTCCTTATGTCTTCAAGACGTCTCAAAGCGCTTCACGGGATATAGTGTAAAGTGAAGAGAAAGGTTTTTCAGTCCCGCCTGAAAACCTGAAAACAAAAACAGTCTTTGGGAACACTCAGCAGTCAGGCAGCATCTATGGAGAAAGAAAATTGAGTCAACATTTCGGGTCCACAACCCTTCATCAGAACTGTCCTATCAAGTTCTCTAACCATTACTCTGCTACTCCACATTAAGGGAGCAGGATAAAAAACAACAAAGTAAAATGCACCATTTGATTCCATTGCACAGAGCGAATATCATGGCAATTAATAAACACCAACTTCCCTAATTCTGTTTCGCATAAAATTTGTCGTGGAACAATTTTCTTGTTTTTTTCAAAAAAAAATAATTTCCTGTTATTTTTCTTATTTTCTCCCCATTGGCACATGGCTATCCACCCCAGTCTCCTATTTCCCATCCCTAACCCTGGGAAGGCCAGGGCCAATTTAGCCTCCCACTCAGCCCAGAGCAGAGACCAGCACAGGTCAGGATTTGAACCAGTAGATTCCCAACCGAAAGCTGTACTTCTGTCCCCAACACCAGTGGTGGCCATTTGTTTTGTTCGACCAACAAATTACATTTTTTTGATTGAATATTTCTTGATTTATGCTATAATTCAATCAAGAAAAAACTGAAAACACAAAACTGATCAAACACGGACTTTCCTAGACTCGTGAATATTCTTCACAACCCCGAGAGCCACAGGTTGGCCCCCACTGACTTACACCGTTAGGGTTGGACCGATTTTCAATATACAATCATGTATTTGATCACTTAGCTGAGCCTGGACACTTTCTTGCCAACATTCACACGTTTGCACAACCGGCAGGTATATATGCACAGCTATCAGGTGGAACCGTAGCTGGTTTTGCCTTTATGTTCCTTACTCAGGAAGGACTGAGATAATCGTAGCTCCTTTACTTCTGTTTTGGTTAAGATTACCCAACTTGAGCGCAGGCCTGGGTTTAATGATCCTTGCATTTATATTCTTTGCATTTAGTATAGCGCCTTTCACCTCGGCACAACATCTCAAAGTGCTTCACAGGATATACCGTATTGTAGAGTGTAATGACTGTTTGTTTTCTAAGCAAATACAGCAACATCCCACAACCAGCCATGAAGTGAATGACCAAATATTGGTCAGGGAAATTGCTATGGGATCTTTAGCGTTCACCTGAACGGGCAAACAGACAGTGCCTCAGTTCAACGACTCATCTAAAGAATGACACCTCCGACAATGCAGCACACCCCAGCACTGCGCTGGAGTGTCAGCTTACACTATATGAGTTCAAAGTCCTGACTGTTTGTATGCCACAGTGCTGAACCAGTGGTAGTGGTGGGAGGGGTGTGGAAATACCTTTAACCAACAGGCAATTGAGAGCAACGCTGTCTTCTGTCCGTATGTACAGAGATTAAAAAAACCTCAGTGATCAAAGTAAGCGGGGCATTCAGGAATCTTATATAATATATAATAATAATCCTTGCATTTGATATAGCGCTTTTCACGTCTTTTATACATCTCAAAGCGCTTCACAGAATATGCCGTAAAGTGAATTGACCGTATATTTGTGGGGTGTTTGCGCTGTTTCAATTGGTTTGGTTTGCTGTGGTTTGCTCATCATCCTCCATGCACCTTTCACTTGCACACGGTGCTAACCTTAACCTTGTTTTTTTTTGTGTCTGACAATTCACAGCTACGTCAGCCAGGATGTTCCTGCAGTAGGCGGCCAGAACGTCGGAGCCTGACATGAACAAGCCGGAGGACGTGACGGAGGCGGAGGTGGAGGATGAGCCTGGGAATGGGGAGATCAACGAGTTGGTGGAGGCTGACCTGGAGCACTCCGAGGTAGAGGAGGAGCAGCATGGTGCCTGCTGCGAGGGCCTTGCCAGTGGGAAGGAGGAGATAGCGTCGGTGGTGGCGGGGCGATCCCGGGGCGATGACGAGGGGACCCTGGCCAGGTCCGCCAGCACCGAGAGCGGCTTCCACAACCACACGGACAAGGCGGAGGGCGACGTGATGGCCAGCGTGGGGGACGCATACGACTCTGACGGCCGCCTCCAGGAGAACGAGGATGAAAATGCCTACGCTGTGCATTACCGCCCGGAGGCCGAGGAGTACACAGAGAACCCAGAGTCTGAACACGCCGAGGCGGCTGACAGTAGGACTCTGCCCAACACACTGCACTTCAACATCGTGGATCACGAGGGAGTCACCAACACCACTTACTCTGGGTACGTTTACAGTCACCGGCCGTATCACAGGGCGGAGGAGGCTCCGTACGCCGAGCCCTATGAGGACTATGCGGTCCAGGAGCATGTGTATGAAGAAATTGGGGACACGTGTGAGCTGGCCGGCGGAGAGACACTCAGGCAGTACCGGCAGGAGCGGGAGGAGGCAGAGAACTACCGTAAGGAGGCGCTGGGCGCTCGGCTGCATCATTACGATGAGCGTTCTGACGGGGAGTCCGACAGCCCCGAGAAGGAGGCCGAGTTCGCCCCCTACCCCAGGATGGACAGTTACGAGCAGGAGGAGGACATCGATCAGATTGTGGCCGAGGTGAAACAGAGCATGAGCTCGCAGAGCCTCGACAAGGCCTCCCAGGACATGCCCGAGGCCGAGCAGAACTCTGAGCACAGCCTGTCCAGTGGTGGAGGCGGCCATGACAGTGACGAGGGAAAGACGCTAGCGAACTCCAGGTCTGTGCCCTCCACAAGTCCAACAGAGCCCGTGAGGCACAGCAGAGAGCAGAGGGACGCTATCTCCCTGGCTATCAAGGACATCAAGGAGGCGATTGAAGAGGTAAAGACGAGGACCATCCGATCGCCTTACACTCCCGATGAGCCGACAGAACCCATCTGGGTTATGCGACAGGATATCAGTCCTACAGGAGAGTGTGAGAACCCAATGCCAGGAGGAGGAGATGTAAGTACCTCCCCACTAAAACTCTTGGAACACATTGAGATAGAACTGAAATGTTCGGTTAGCCATGAATTTTACTCTCCCTAACCCGTGTTCTCTCTGTCTCTGCTCGCCTCCTTCCCTCATACAGAGGGATTAGTTTAGAATCTGCTTTTTTTTCGTTAGTCGCTTTTCACAAAGAGAAGGATCAGATGGCATCTGAGAAAGTATTTAAGATAATAACTTGCATTTATATAATAATAATCCTTGCATTTTCACAGAGCGCCTTTCACATCAAAACGGGTTTCTCAAAACTATAACTGATTAAAAATGAAGTGAATATTAAACAGGCAAACGTGGCACCTGATGTGCGCCAGCAACTTGCCTGAAGGTTATTGATAAACTGAACCCTTATTTGTTTAACAAAGGCACAAACTCAATGGCAAAGGGACCCAAGCTGAAGCTCAGAGAGGAAAGTCAGTTTAAATTTACCCACTTACATAGAGAGTGTGAATATGTGGAATGGACTATCCAGGGCAGCAGTGGAAGCAAGTAAATTTAAAAGGGAATTGGGTAGCTATTTAATGAAGAAATTGACTGAGGATATAAGAGTTAAGAGCAGTATAGGATTTTATTTCATTAGTATTACCTGGAAAGACTGCAATAGTCATTTCCCAGTGCTTCACTCATATTTTTTTAAATTTACAAACAGTTGTTCTTAATAATAATAATCCTTGCATTTGATATAGCGCCTTGTCATGTCAAGGCATCTCAAAGGGTGGCACAGGACATTCTGTAAAGTGGGTTGACTGTGTATTTTGTGGGTGACGTGCGGTAGCCAGTTTGCACACAGCAATGTCCCACAAACAGCCATGGAGTGAGTGACCAATTTTATTTGGTGGATTGTTGACCAGGACATCAAGAGAAACTGCCTGCTATATTCAAATAGTGCCATGGGATCTTTTAACGTCCACCTGAACAGGCAAACGGGACCTCGGTTTAACATCTTGATCAGTCAAATGTTTTTCTTGATCACTCTCATGTCAGTTCCATGTCTAATTTCCGTTCTTCCATTTTTGTTTCCAGTTGAAAATTATTGGAAGATTTGCATTTAACGCATTTATCTGGGATGCCTCCTCTCACCTGTCATTTTCCCAGCACCAAGTGCCAGTGTGCGTCAAATAAATAATCCTTGCATTTGGTTGTTAAGTCTCGATATTGTATTGTTCGACCTAGATAACCTTGTAAACCTTTGCAAGACCCTTAATGATAAATAATAATCCTTGCATTTGATATAGCGCCTTATCACGTCATGGAGATGTCTCAAAGCACTTCACAGGGTACACTGTAAAGTGGTGTAACTGTGTGTATTTTGTGGGACTTATGCGTGTTTGTACTCAGTTTTGAAGCAGTAACATATGCCTCTTTTCTTGCTTTTTCTCTTGCAATGTTTTCTCTCCTGAAGACACAATCTTAATGGAGTATGGTACAAGAAGCGCTCCAGCTCTCTGCCCAGTCATTCTTTCTGTGTGAGGTTGGACGATGAGTGTCAGGTCAGCAGGCTATTCAGTTTTGGGGGGGCATCGCAGTTGAACCCGACCCTGTCCTCACCTTACACCTTCTGACATGCACTTTGCCTCAGGAGATCACTGGAGAGCCATTGGAAGCTGGAGCCCTGGGTAATTTAGCTCTCCCTTTTCTCCCTCCAGAATGAGGGCACCAAAGATAGTAGCACCTCAATCTCTGCTGGACTGAGAGGTACCAACTCAGCACAGATTGTGCTTTGCTGTATATTTTACCCATATTTTTGTTCAAAGTTGTCAACCAATTCACAACCTCAGAGCTGTATTACCTATAAATACTTGTTATATTACTTTTATTTATTTTTTAAACTATTTAATCGCTTTAAATTGATTTAATTATTTTGTAAATAATAATTGTTATTATATAATATTACTTATACAGGGTGACCAAAAAGTTATGATATCTACCCTATTATCTAAAAAAAACATTATTAGACATTATAACAGTATCACAAAATTTGGTTACCCTATATTAGTGTCCTGCGGCTTGGGATGTCCTCCCAATATAAGGAGCACTATATAAATGCAATTTTTTGTTGTTGTAGTGCAAGTTTCTGTCTATGGGAACCCAAGCTTCTGAATGAAGTGTTGCAGTCTGAATCAATCGAGTTCCTGTGGATTTTATCAATGGCAATGGAGATAGTTGTGAGGATAGGCTTGACGACTCAGGACTATTTTCACTGGAACAGAGAGGTGGGGGTCGTCAGAATACTTCAGCTACACGGAGCCAACAGATCTGATATAATTTAGGAGGAGTCCTAGAGTGTAGGCAATGACTGTGTTCTCACCTCTGGTTGCTTTGCCGTGGATGTCAGGGACGGATAACCTTGAGGAACTCTGTACAAGTTATGAACTTTGTAATAATAATAATAATCCTTGCATTTGATATAGTGCTTTTCACGTCTTCTAGACGGCCCAAAGCGCTTCACAGAATATACTGTAAAGTGAATTGACTGTATATTTGTGGGCAAACGCGGCAGCCAATTGCGCACAGCAGTGACCCACAAACAGTCATGGATTGAAAATGACCAATTTATTATTGTTTTGGTTTTTTGGAGGGATTATTATTAGGCTCTGTGTGGAGTAAGGAAACTTGCCCAAGGTTTCGCCCTGCCTGGAATTGAACTCGGGTCTCTCAGGTGCAAAGCGAGTGCTCTAACCACTGAGCTACAGGACTCCACATACTGGTTTTACTCTGTACTCTGGTTTTAAGCAGAAACATTGTAGTACGAAAAGGCTTGAGAGTATAAAGAGTGAAAGATTATTCTCGCTTGTTGTTACTGTAAATTGGTCAGTACTGGTGTACATACACCCATGGCTGCTGCTATAATATTTGAGGGACTGAGTTAGAATCAATTTTTTTCACATGCTGAGAACATGGAATGCTTTGCCATAAGTAACTATTGAGGCTGAGACCGTAACATAATTTAAAAAGAAATTAGAAGAGTAATTGAAGAGAAACAATGTAATGGTTATGGGAATGGAGCAGGGAATTGAGTTTGAAGTAGATGGCTTCAATGGGCGGAATGACCTCCCTTTGTCTTGTAATTTTTATTGTTCTATAACTTGTTCATAGATTGAACTGGAAATATTATGGTGGAAGGGGAGGAGAAGGATTCCACCTCGATCTAGGTTTAATTTTTTTTTACCATTTCAAACATGCTGAAATTGTCAAATTCTTAATACTTTGAAGCCATTTTTCTGCAGTTCTTAAATGAAACTAAAGAGAACCAACTTCAAAATTGAGACTGGATTCAAGAATTTGCCAAATTCCAGATGCTCTGAAACACTTAAGAAAATACAGTAAAACTTGCTTAAGTCTGATGTATATAACTTGTATAATCACCTAAGTTGTATATCTGCCCAAGTCCTGTCCAAGAGTTTATACTCTATGTAATTTTGACATAACTCATACTTTGCGTAGTCATATTAAATGTATGGTCCCAACTGATGTAATTTGTGTGAGGTTTACTGTAGAGTAAATCTAGACCCTGGTGGAATTTCTAACCCCACGCATATTGAATAACCTTGGTGGTCAGACCTGATCAGCTGCTGGCCTGTTGTCGCTAGCCTTGAGGCATAGTTACAATCAGCTGCTGAATTGGAAACAAAGGAGAGTTTAGCCAGGCTTGGGTGCAACCCGATTTCAGACGCACAACATTTTAGCACTGTGGCAGAGTTGTCACCAAGTCCCAGTTTCGTATCACACAGCCATACTCTCGTTCCTGATGTCAGTTCCAGTCCTTGTGAAGGGAGATGTGTAGCAGTGAGACACAGATTTGTTCACATTTGCCATTCCCTCTTTACAGTAAGCTGTGCTGGACGCAGGAGGCAGAGAGGAGGTCAGGTGCATCCCACAATAAGGGAGAAAGAATTCAAAGGAACTTTTTCGTCGCTCCCTTCTCCCCCCATTCCCCCCTGCTTTCCCTCTCCACAACTTGCAATTCTTGCCCCCCTCCTAATGGTCAGTAATGATAGAGCTTGGAAGCAGAGGGATCTGTCCACTTCCTGACCTAGGATAGGATGACCATATTTCTCTTGATTTCTAGATGAGGTATTGTGTCACTGGCTAGATTTGCCCCATCTTAAGTTCAGCAACAAACTGAGCAAGAACAATAAAATTCTAGAACGGATACACTCCTCAGAGAAATACAGCCATTAATCCAACAAGCATCCCCACTAACTGTCAGCATCAACAATTGTAGTGCGTTCAATTTTTTATATATGCGTCTCAGAATTTGGTCTAAAAATAGGGTTACTCTAGGAGGTCCTGCAAATATTGGGTTTGTCTTGCTTTGCATCGTTTTGCCTGATGAAGGTGCTCGAGCAAGTGCATCAAATGGCCCGCAAAGCTTCAGTTCAGGGTGGAGCGGCCCAGCCTACAGCCAGTGTAACTCCCACACTGAGGTTGAGGCATCAATCTTCACTCTGTTGTTACAAGGGGCTGCTGACACGCAGAGGATTAAGGGTTCAAGTGCAGGTGGGGTGTGCTTGTGGTGAAGCTTGCCTGGAGGTGGTGCTGTGGTGCAGGGGATCTCAGGAACGTCCTTCCAGGTGAGGCCCTGTATGTGGTAATCCAGTGACCAGGTGGTGCTCAGGTCTTGCACTGGAGCCTTTTGACCTGAAGATGGAGGGAAGCACTGCACATATCCAGAGTGAATTATAGATGAAGAACGGATATGGTAGTGTACCCAGGACAACCGTAAGAGGCATATAATAACAAGTATCCTTGCATTTAATATAGCACCTTATCACATCATTGAGATGTCTTAAAGCGATTCACGGAATATATTGTAAAGTGACCCATCATGACCTGCTCTGCCTTTCCCCATCTCCACAAATTGCTCCGCCACTGTCTCTCACCTCAGGCTGCCGAGACCTTCATCCACACCTTCATCATATCCAGGCTTGACTGCGTAAACTCCCTGCTTGACGGTCTCC